CTAATTGTGTGTGTGTGTGCGTGTGTATGTGTGTGTGTGAAGAAGGGGAGTGGGGGGGTAATGGGTGGGTGAGGAGGGGCTTAAGTGAGTGTTTGAATGGCCAAGTCAACACCCTTGGCTGACTGGTCAATAATTTCAGCCCCTGTTCAAGATGACTGAGATCTTCGCCTGTGCTGTATGCATACATAAATTCAATTAACTACAATGCTGTTAGACTTACGTACACACTCAGCATGACATGCACGCACACTCGCGCGCACACACACACACACACATGGACTGCATTAGGAAATGATGTGACGAAGGTAGACTCCATACACAGTTTCAAATAGAGATATGATCGAGCCCAATAGGTTCAGGAATCTCTACACCAGTTGAGTGACAGTTGAGAGGCGGGGACCAAAGAGCCGAAGCTTAACCCCCGCCCCTTCCCACCCGCAAGGGCAATTAGGTGAGTACACACACCATGAGAAATAATGCAATGCAAGAAATGTTGACTTTATCTTGATGAGAACGTCATTCGTTCTCATCCCTGCATTTGTCTTCCTATCTTCCCATTTTCCTACTCATCTACTCAACCTATTTGTTGCTTTTACTTTACCATTCCTTACACACAGGGATCACACTAACGTGATGCATCAAATGAACAAATCCACAAGGGCCGTGACGAGGATTCGAACCTGCGTCCGGGATTTTACCATTCCTTATTAGTGCTCTTCACTCTTGCCCTCCCACCAGCTCTTCACAGTAAGACCACAACAGGAGGAGAAACTGACAGTAGAGCAGGAGAGTGGAGAGAGGACGAGAGCGAACAGAATGCTTTCCCGATAAGTTTAATTCCGCCAAGTCGTAACGGAACGCGTCCGTTTGGCCATGCGAGGCCAAGATGAACGCGTCCGTTTGGCCATGCGAGGCCAAGATGAACGCGTCCATTTGGCCATGCGAGGCCCAGATGAACGCGTCCGTTTGGCCATGCGAGGCCCAGATGAACGCGTCCGTTTGGCCATGCGAGGCCCAGATGAACGCGTCCGTTTGGCCATGCGAGACCCAGATGAACGCGTTCGTTTGGCCATGCGAGGCCCAGATGAACGCGTCCGTTTGGCCATGCGAGGCCCAGATGAACGCGTCCGTTTGGCCCATGTGGGACCCAGATGAACGCGTCCGTTTGCCCCATGTGAAGCCCAAATGAACGCGTCCGTTTTCCGACTGTTCCAACCATGTTCGTGGCAGCGTTTGTGACCCTTCCGTAACTCCATTTGGAGGAGCAGGAGGAGGAAGAAGATAATGAGGGGAGGAAGTGGAGAGGGAAGGACGATCGACAACAGCTGCTGGTGAGTCTGCTCAACGAGCCAGTCCAAAACCAGCCAAAATGGGAATGAAAAGCAGATACCAGGGGCCAGCTCGGACCCGCAGCCCGACACCCGCCGCGGAACTATTTCGCGGACTTCCCAATTAGGACGAAATCGTTGGCAATCACTAAGGTTTTTCATATTCTGGTCCCAGATTATGCCTTAAAAGCCTATTATTTACATTTTCACCCAATTTATGCAATTATTAGAGTATGGAATTATGTCACGTTACCAGCTCAGACGCCTGTAATAGCAGGCTGTGATGGCTAGCGGCCTAGAAAAGCCGCCTGTGGGAGTAACGTTTTGGAGCCAGAGTTTCCCAGAATCCAGAAGGGAATTCTGGGACTAGGAAAATGGGAAGCTTTGAGTCGGATATTGGAAGAAAGTTTGATGTTTAAAACTTGTGTGTTCGCTGGGATCACACCCATTGCCCGCCTCAGTGTTTCGAGGTCACCCTCCGTTGACAGTCAGGAAGGTCACCCTCCGTGGACAGTCAGGAAGGTCACCCTCCGTGGACAGTGATGAGGGTCACCGTCTCTGGACAGGAAGGGAATGTCGCCCTCAGTTCACAGTGAGAAAGGTCACTCTCGGTGTCAAACGTGAATAGATTTCACACCGAGGATTACCAGTGTTTCTCATACTTAGCCCATGGTTCAAAAGCAGATTTCGAGCGTCCAGAAGCAGATTCACAGACCGTTTCTTCGTTCCCTGTAGATTTGCGTAAGAAACAACAACTAAAAAGTAACTTGTGACTAATTTATAATTTGTGCATTTCATTAGATATTTACAAGCAGAAAATATTTAAAAATGTTATTTACATTTATTTCAGTCAACTCACCTGTTCCTTGTGTTCTCACAAGAACAACACAGCAAGCTCACTAGACCAGCACAGATAACTCACAAAGATAATAAATATAGCAAACTAATAAAGACAACTCAACTCACGTAATGAAAAATCCCAAAAATATTCAGTAAAATCTTTATACTTTTTTTCCATGATAATTTTTTCTTCGAGCATTCCTTAAATTGAATCTATGTTTATAACACCACTGTGCCAAATTCTGGTCCAATTCTGGATATAAATAGGACCTCCCTCGCATGGGTTCAGTAGGAGCTGCCTCGTATGAACCAATAGAAGCTGCCTCGCATGGACCAATAGGAGCTGCCTCGCATGGGTCCAGGAGCTGCCTCGCATAGACTAATAGAAGCTGCCTCGCATGGACCAATAGGAGCTGCCTCGCATGGACCAATAGGAGCTGCCTCGCATGGGTCCAGTAGGAGCTGCCTCGCATGGACCAATAGAAGCTGCCTCGCATGGACCAATAGGAGCTACCTCGCATGGACCAATAGGAGCTGCCTCGCATGGGTCCAGTAGGAGCTGCCTCGCATGGACCAATAGAAGCTGCCTCGCATGGACCAATAGGAGCTGCCTCGCATGGACCAATAGAAGCTGCCTCGCATGGACCAATAGAAGCTGCCTCGCATGAACCAATAAGAGACATAGACAGCAAATTTACAAGCACAAATACATATTTACAAGCAGAAGTACGATACAAATTTACGAACTCAAGCCAAAATGTAAAAAAAAAGCAGTAGTCAACACGTTTACAAGCGCCTATACAGATTTACAATGACTAAGAACCGAGATGATTTTTACAAGCCAGGTGAATCATTACAATCCCAGTTCATCAACCTTCTCTCTCTCTCTGTCTCTCTGATAACTGGTAAACCGAGTCGTTCTCCGGGTGCATTTTTTTGTTTAACATGTCCGGTTTGTAGCACAACCGCAGAAACCTCACAGCGGGATGCAGTTTCTTCCAGCAACAGCAAACCACAAGTGAGATGAGAGGTTTGTTTAGTGGTCTAGGCGCCGCTGCAGTGAATAGTGGACTAGAAGGCACGTCAGTACAACACAAGATAATGATCTAACCCGGAAAGAAAACCGTAATAAGATAGCGGTCTAACCGGATAGATAACATACTCGATAACGATCTAACCGGGACCACAACATAGAACGCAGGTCGGTACAGTTAATGGTTACTTTACAGCATGAAAGTCACGATTATCAAGTACAGGTGAGAGTACAGGTACACCTAGGGTACAGGTACACCTAGGGGTACATGTACACCTATAGTGTATAGGTGCATCTAGTGTACGTTACATTTAGCGTACAGGTAGAACTAGAGTACAGAAAAAAACAGAGTACAGATACAGCCAGAATACAGCTACAGCCAGAGTACAGATACAACTAGCAGGAATAATATAGTATAATGCAATGTAACTATTGAAATTGAGAGACGCTCAGAGCCCTCCTGGAAGCCTCAGAGCTCAAAGGATAAGATCCTGAAATTGCATGTTGAATCCTCAACAGTGTTGCCGGACAGTTGTTAGTCTATAATAGTAATAAGAATTATTATTATTATTATTATTATTATGTCAGTCTGTCCATGGTTGGGGGTTAGACGTTTAGGGATAGCCTCACCCAACTTTCCAACTCGACACATGGGGGGGTATGGGCGTGTCATAGGCCAGTCAGGGTTGGCCCCCAATCCCAGACTTTAGGAAATATTGGCATATAGCAAACCCTCCGAGTCCACGTGTGATTTTCATGGTCGTCTGAAATCGGTGATGTGTTTTCCGTCGAGTTATTTAATTTGTTTTTATCTAGTCCTTCTAAATATACAGATTAAATGTTCTGAGAGAGAAGAAGAAAGGGGGAAGGGGGAAGGGGGAAGGGGAAACTAGGGAGAGGAGAGGGAAGAAAGATGGAGAGGGTGTGTGATAGGGGAATCTTCTCTCGTCAGAAGAGAAGGGATGGGAGAGGTGAGAGAAGGGAAGATTGCTTGAGAGAGGGGAGGAGAGGGAGAGAGAAAATGTTGGTTGGAGAGGGAAGGAGAAGAGGACAACATTGGAAAGATGGGGACAGGGGAAGAAAGGAAAAGGAAAAGAGACAGGGGAAGGGGAATAGAGACCCGGGCACAGCCGGGGAACCCCCTTTAGTGTAAGATGGAATGAAAATAGAAATTTAATAACAAATTTAAGTATTCAAAAGTATCTGGTTGTAATGCAGAGTTATTCTTCCGTGGAGCACGCCACAGTATAGCCAGGCGGGGGGAGGGCAGTGTGGTGAACCTCAGTACACCACAGTGTACCTGGGGGGGGGCAGTGTGGTGAACCCCAGTACACCACAGTGTACCCCGAGGGCAGTGTGGTCCTGGGGGTGTAGTGGTGCCGGGCTCACATGTTTGAATGATCACTATCGATACACTGTCTCACACTCATACGAGGGAGGACGACGTTACTATTACCAGCACCATTAATATCGTCACCATCACCCTTCCCCCTCACCACCATCACCATCCTGGTGGTAATAAGGGAGCACCGTCCCATCATTGTGTCCTCCTACCCTTCCCATGAGCTACAGTGACTTAAATAACCGCTTCTGAACAGTATCCAGCAAGCACAAACGCATCCAAAATATTTCGACCACCAGTCATTCCAGTACCAGTCATTCTAGTACCAGTCATTCTAGTACCAGTCATTCTGGCCACTAGTACCAGGTTCCCCCTTCCAGTACGACTTCCAGTACGACTTCCATTTCTCCTCAACCAGGTACTAATTCCTTTCTCTGCCATGGTCTCCAGCAGGTGCTGATGGCGCGCCCCGAGGTGCTGGGCCCCGGGTACCACAAGCAGCTTCGTCAGGGCATCCTCGGGGTGATGTTCGTGGTGGCCCTGGTGGGCAACCTTAAGGTCATGTGGACCCTCCGACAGAAGTGGGCTAAGAGAGGTCGTATGACCATTCTCAGCTTCAACCTCACCCTGGCCGACATGTTGGTCGTCCTCGTCACCATCCTGGGTAGGTACCTCACTATCACTACCCTGGGTAGGTGCCTCATTATCACCATCATAGGTAGGTCCCTCACTATCACTACCCTGGGTAGGTACCTCACTATCACCATCCTGGGGTAGGTGCCTCATTATCACCATCCTGGGTACCCAAAAATGGTATTATTAATATTATCATTATTACTTTATTTAGATAAGTATCACTATTAATATTACTTATATTTGGTTTTCGTTCTGACTGCCAAGCAGACAGCGTTCGGGATTTGTAATCCATGAACCTGGGTTCGATTACTGGCCGAGGAGGAAATACATGGGCAGTGTTTTTTTCATCTGATGCTTCTCTTCACTAGCAGCAAGTAGGGTCCTGGGAGTCAGGTAGCTATTGCAGGCTACATCCTGGGGATGTGTGTTTGTGTCAGAGAAATATATGAGGTAGAAATAGTATGGTTAAACAAACGGATATACGTCCATCTCTGTCCTCTGGCCAGGACCACCACCATCCACTCAAATGAAAATGGATTAACCCAATCCACCAAAAAAAATGAAAGAAGCAACGAGAAAGGTACACAAAAATACTGTATGCATGGAGAAGAGGGAGAGAAAAGATTAAATAACAGTTGAGGAAAGCGAAAAGGATCCTTCAGAAGAGGTGCCATTATCAAGGGCCTTCTCCTCCTCCATTACCATGACCCCCCCCCCTCTGGCTCACGTTATAGGATAATATGGTCCCCGGGCCTCGCTGGCTTTCTTGGAGGAACGGAGATTATCTTAAACGACGTTCGTCTTAAAATATACGGTACGTCATTGGAGACCAATACTATGTTTGGGGTGGTATAATTGGGTTCTGGGTCTTCTCCTCATTGGGGGGATTATCTGTTGTCTATTATGAGTCGGTAAATTGGTTAGTTATCTCGAGTTAATATTGCTGAGGTGGTTTCCAAGTGGTTAGTAGGATTCTACCGCTAGTTGATGTGATATTTATGCGACTTATGTGAAAGAAATATATTAAGGTGATGTGGGGGCAGGAAGGATGGAAGATGCTGCAGCTTCTGTTTTTTCTCTCTCACTCACCTCTCTCTCTCTCTCTCTCTCTCTCTCTCTCTCTCTCTCTCTCTCTCTCTCTCTCTCTCTCTCTCTCTCTCTCTCTCGCTACACCTCTATTGAACTCTCTCACAACCACTGTAACAAACTCAACCAGATGGTAAAGTTCACTTGGAACTTTCCTACTCTCCAAAATCTTCCGTCATTTTAACCTCTTCCTCCTCCTTCTCCTTCTCCATTTTCCTCTCCGCCTTCCTCTCCTCCTCCCCTTTCGCCGGAAAAGCCTACGTTGTTCCAGTGAGCAAAATTCACTTAACCTATTACTGAAAATGAGGAATATCATTTCTGGCCCGAGGAATGAATTAACTCTGGATGAATGAAACTCTGAATGAATGAAATGAATGAAATAACTGTGAATGAATGAAACTGGATGTGAGTTTGCTCTCTAGCGAGCAAACTCATATCTGTAAACGCAGCATATATATATATATATATATATATATATATATATATATATATATATATATATATATATATATATATATATATATATATATATATATATATATGTGTTGACCTGTGGCCATCATCAACTCTTCACTTAGCTGTTGTTGCTCTGTTCGGGAACTACTTACTAATTAATGATCTCCTCAACTTCATCATCATCATCAACGATGAGTTAATGAGTTGGGATGATTACACTGGCCCAGGGGTGAATATCCACCAGGAGGCTGGTGTTTACACTGGTGGTAAAGGCTGCTTTTATTGTTTACATTTTCAGCACCTCTCCACATTCTCATATACCACTTATCTTTCTTCCTCTCTCTCTCTCTCTCTCTTCTATCACTGTCCTTTCTCCACTTCCTCTATCCTCTCATTTCATCCTATCTCAACTTCTCTCAGCCTACCTCCAAGTTTGCCTACATACCTACCTGCCGACTTTCCCAGTCTACCTACAATCAACCAACTTACCTATGAGTCTGCCTACTTACCTACCAGTCTACTACTTACCTATGGTGCGATCTTTCCACACTCTCCGGTGTAGGAATAATATATCCTATATCCTATGTTTATCCCCCCCCCCCTGCGATATAAACACTATATATTTCCGAAAGGGGTGGGGTCAAGTTCCACATTTTCCTTGGCCAGTATCGTTATGTCTGTCGTTTGTATGCTAACGAAACTCGTATAAAGAGAGAAGAGTATAATGCCGAGGAGCGCTGAGTATACTAATAAAGATTGCCGAGTATGATAAAATATCGAATAAATTAATTGATTCAGCTGTCTCTCTCTCTCTCTCTCTCTCTCTCTCTCTCTCTCTCTCTCTCTCTCTCTCTCTCTCTCTCTCTCTCTCTCCCAGGTCAGCTGATGTGGGAGGTTCTGGACATGCACTGGTACCTCTCCAACGTCGCCTGCAAGCTCTTCAAAGTGGCGTCCACCTTCGCCATCACCTCCAGCAACTACATGCTCGTGGCCATCGCCATCGACCGCCACGAGGCGGTAGTGAGGCCTCTCAACCCCTTCATCAGCGCCAAGAACCTGGTGTTGGCCGCGTGGGCTGTCAGCCTCCTGCCTTCCCTGCCCAACCTCTTCGTCTTCCTCAGGTCGGTCCTTAATTCCTGTTTTTTGTGTCCCTCTCTAAATGGGTGTTGTTGTAGGTGTTTCTCTGTTTAGGTGGATGTTGTAGGTGGGTGTTACTGTTGCCTTTCTCCTTGAGGCAGGGAAATGCATGCTTCAAAATGGAAATGTGGGAGAAACAGGCTGTCTTGGCAGGCAGGAATAAGGTGCTCCAGTGGATGAAAGGAGTACCTAAGCAACAGAAAACACCTACGGGCCGCGTTATGGACCCACATACCCCCCCGTGCTACATGGAATTCTTTTTTTTTTCCAGTAGCTGAATCTAAAACTACGGGCTATTCATGCCCGTGCCACCTCTTGGGTGGCTTAATCTTCATCAATCAACAGAAAACAGGGAGTTAGGGTGAGGGGACACTTGTTTACAGTAAGGTCTGTTAACTCAACAGAGACTTGTACTTTTTTCATTTTGCTTCTGGTAGGAAGGCTCTCTCTCTCTCTCTCTCTCTCTCACACACAAAAGTGCCCGTCAAGATCTCATACTATGAACTATCTCTTGACACTCTCATATATAAGTAAATATAGATACAGAGGCTGCTCTGGACTACACACATGCGCAGGAATGTGGTAGAGTCTGGCTCGCCTCCCCCGTGGCAAAGTACTTGGACATTGGGCACTGAACCGATCCTCTCTGATTCCTCCAACCGAAGAACACAATCAGCCTCGGATCTGGGGACCCCGAGGCTTCCTAGGCTCAAGGAGACGAAGAAAGGCTCTTGTGTCTGTATGCAGAAGACATAAGCAAGAAGACATTAAGAAGCAAGAAGCGGTGAACAATTGTTTGGAAAGTTATGGCAAGAGGCAACGCTGAATGGCAGAGAGAATGAAGAGTGAAATGTGGTAAATATTGTAAGAATGTGAGTATGATAAAGTTAAAATAAGGAGAGAGTAAGCCAGTTAATGAATCAAGAGCATTATGGAATGTGATAATCCAGGATAATCCCTCCCCTCGACCCTGATACAGCCGGCTTCTCCTCGGCTACAGAACACATGTGTTCATTATTATACAATGATCAATTATCAATTACAATGCTGTACCACGGTATTAAATAATATAACGGGCACGAAAAATGATTAAAAAAGAAATAGGCTACATGCCAAACAAAATACACCATCAGATCATGCAATATAGCCTTGCAGGTCATGCAATATAGGCCTAGTAAATACAAAATCTAAAACCCATTACGTTTAAACAATATAGCTCCCCCAGCACATAGTGAATATTGAGCTCCAGCAGGATGAGAAATTTAGCCGGTGTGCAGGGGAGGTGGAGGCCTGAGAAATGTGTTTACTGCTCACACACACACACACATTATTAATTATTAAATTAATTAGTTATTCAATACTGAACAAGAGGAAGTCTGGCTTGAGGCATCGCTGTTCTTGGTGGTGGTAGGGGGGGGGGGTGCAGGTGGGTGGTGCAGATGGAGGTGGGGGGGGGGGTGCTGGTGGGGTTAGTGGTGGTGGTAATGTTGTAGGTGGTGTGGATGGTGGTGATGGTGGTGGTTGTAATGGTGGTGGTGACACTGGTAACGATGTGATGGGGGCCAGCAGTGGTGATGATGGTGCATGTCATAACTAGTGGTGTAGATGAGAGCGATGGTGACGGTTTTGTGGTGTAAATTGTGGTGATGACCAGGACGTAGTCCACTGCGCTACGGTAATATATGGAGGCATAAAAATCCACAACGAACATAATTTGTATTCAATCATTTTACCCAAATTTATGCCTAATATTTATTAAATACAAATCATATACAATCCTACATTTTGTTATATTTCATTAATTATAGGACATTTAAGTGTATCATACAGCGATGTATTTTTAATTGAGTATCGAGAATCGATTTTGATATTTAATTTGTTTAGAGTGTTCGATGCGCTCTAAGTCGACCCAAACAAATAATTCAACCTGAATGTGTTCGGTTCAACGCCATTTTGAACACTCCCGTCCAGCACGGGGCTGGACGGTAGAGCGACGGTCTCGCTTTATGCAGGTCGGAGTTCAATTCCCGTCCGTCCAAGTGGTTGGGCCCCCCATTCCTTTATCCCCGTCCCATCCCAAGACCGTATCCTGACCCCTTCCCAGTGCTATATAGTCGTAATGGATTGATTGATTGATAAAGATTAAGCCACCCAAAAGGTGGCATGGGCATGAATAGCCCGTAAAGTCCTAATGGTTTGGCACTTTCCCTTTATAGTTCCCTTCACCACACACTGCATTCTACTTCATGAAGTGCATTCATCACCGATCCATTCACAGAGACGGCACCACTCCCGTGCCAGGTAAGTCCACTACGGGTTCACCATAGCCCGTGCTACTTGCCCCGCTCCTGTGCCAGGTAAGTTACGGGCTCACCATAGCCCGTACTACTTAGAACCTGTTCCGAGTAGCTGAATCTATAACAACAACCGATCCATTTCATTCATATCCACCCTTTTCATTTAGACAAATACTACGTTACACACATTTTTGTAAACATCAGAATACACCCGCTACATGCATCCCTGTCACTCAAGATTTGCAATACAACCCCCCCCCCCACGTATTGTTGCACAGACCACATCGTGCGTGAAATCAATCAATCGGCTTGAAGTGCAATACCAAACCCTTTTCTATAACCCTTGCAACGATTTTGAAGCAACAGTCTCTGGATTTAATGAGTTTCGTTAATACGACCCTAATCAAATCAAATCGGTCAAATCAACTCAATCAAATCAAATAACAATATTTAATCATAAATGATGGCACATGAGTAACTGGGAAACTTTACAGGCAAATTACAGTACATTACATACGAGTGTTACACTAATGGGAGACCTGGTCAGAGACCGGGCCGCGGGGCCACTGATCCCCCGGAATCTTCAACAGGTAGACACTATGCCACAAGCACCTGGAGGAAACAAAGAGGTTTTGTTTGAAAGTTCGAAGCCCGAGTAGGTTTCAAAGTTTTAATAGCCCGTAAAGTGCTTGTAGTCGACCGAGTCTTCATTAATACAAAAAAGTTGGTTTCGAGCGTATAAAATTGTATGTCATTTGGTAGTCAACCTATTAGTCAATCAATAGCCGGACCCGACACGTGAGGTGGATGACTGACAACGTTTCGGTCCGTTATGGAGCCTTATAACGATTAGATAAAGCATCCAGAACGGACCGGAACGTCCATCAATTTCGTTTCATACCGTAACATCATCCATTTCACTTCAGTTTGGACCGAAACGTCGTCAATTTAACTTCATTGCGGACCGAAACGTCGTCAGTTACCCTGATGTGTAGATTGGGTTATTTAAATATGATTTACTCGCAGACGAGGAGTCACAATAATGTGGCTGAAGTATGTTGACCAGACCACACACTAGACGGTGAAGGGACGACGACGTTTCGATCCGTCCTGGATCATTCTCAAGTCGATTGTGTATTTGATTTACTAGTACTTATAACGGTGAACGATTTGGAATTTGATTTGCTCGACAGGAGGCATTATTAAAACAAATATATTAAGTTATTGATGAAGATTCAACAAACATTTTATACTTGCTTTTTGATGAATACTCAACACATGCGATCGAACGTTTTAAACCCCTTAATACTTTGTTAACAGTAATCTGCCATAGGCAGATTGAGGAACAAAAATGATTGGAGCTCGGCAGGGATTCGAATCAGCGTCATGGTTAACATCAAACTCGTAGCCCCATACTCGTAGCCCCATACTCGTAGCCCCATGCTCGTAGTCCCATACTCGTAGCCCCATACTCGTAGCCCCATACTCGTAGCCCCATACTCGTAGCCCCAAACTCGTAGCCCCATACTCGTAGCCCCATACTCGTAGCCCCATACTCGTAGCCCCATACTCGTAGCCTCATACTCGTAGCCCCATTCTCGTAGCCCCATACTCATAGCCCCATACTCGTAGCCCCATACTCGTAGGCCCATGCTCGTAGCCCCATACTCGTAGCCCCATACTCGTAGCCCCATACTCGTAGGCCCATGCTCGTAGCCCCATACTCATAGCCCCATACTCGTAGCCCCATACTCGTAGCCCCATTCTCGTAGCCCCATACTCGTAGCCCCATTCTCGTAGCCCCATACTCGTAGGCCCATGCTCGTAGCCCCATTCTCGTAGCCCCATACTCGTAGCCCCGTACTCATAGCCCCAAACTCGTAGCCCCATACTCGTAGCCCCATACTCGTAGCCCCATACTCATAGCCCCATACACGTAGCTCCATACGCGTAGCCCCATACTCGTAGCTCCATACTCGTAGCCCCATACGCGTAGCCCCATACTCGTAGCCCCATACTCGTAGGCCCCCGACATGCTAAAAAAAAGCTATCAGACCTGGCACCCGCCCGAATCCACAACGTGAAATCCGGATCCACCGAGCTGTTTTTGGCAAAATCCTAGTTTTAATAAACGTAAATAAGCGAAGGTTTCCACCGTGTCGATTCACAGGGGTATAAGTCCCACATCAAACGAAATAGCAGAATATAACAAGAGTTCTTTCACATGCTGCCAGCTCTCGGAGTTTGTTCAGCATTACCCACTCCTGTTTACATGATGGAGAGATAATTGGGTTATGCAGTAATAAACTAGGCGAGAATAATGAATATTTTAATGGAATCGAACTCGCTTCCCTGGGATCAAGGACGCGGGTTCAATATTTTGTTGTTCTTCGTGATCTTCAGTTCCGTTGTGCTGTAAAACTACGGGCTGGAAGATGTGTTTTCTCTTGAGATTCTACGTGTGGTTAGAACCGGAAATTGGGGAAGTTTTCCTAATGACCGAAGTAGATGGACATGCGGTTGTTTGATGAAAAGAAATCATGTCCCTTATTGATGGGGCATGATTTCTTGTCTTGTGTTGTTCTACCTAGCCTCCTGCCCCTCCGCTTAGCCTCCTGCCCTCCCGCCTAGCCTCCTGCTCCCCGTCTAGCCTCCTGCCCCCCTATCAGCCTTCAGCCTCCACCTAA